TTTTCAGTATCATGTTATCAATGCACTTCAAAAACATCCTTTGTTACATCTCCATTGCCTTCTTTTAGCTCTTTCCCCTGCCGATCAGGGTTCCCCACCCTCCCAGCAAGATCACTATGTTGTATCTGTCGTATCTGGATGCCGTCATCGCGTGCTAAAATCTGCCAGCATGCTGCAATATCAGTTTTCAAGAGGATGCAGGATTTGTCCTTCGTCTGTTCTTGATACAGTGGTGCCTCGCAAGACGAAATTAATTCGTTCCGCAAGTTTTTTCTTCTTGCGAGTTTTTCGTCTTGCGATGCACGGTTTCCCATAGGAATGCATTGAAAATCAATTAATGCGTTCCTAGGGAAACCGACTTCAGACCAGGTCCGGGGACAGTCTGTCCCCCGACCTCTTCTGAAGGCTGGGGGGGGGGACAAGGGCTTTTCTTCCCACCCCCAGCATTTTAAAAAACCCCGGGACAGCGGAGGACTTCTCCGCTGTCCGGGGCGATTTAAAAGCCCCTGGGAAGGCAGGCAGGGGGGACAAAGACTTTTGCCCCCCGCCAGCCTTCAGAAGAGGTCCTGGACCTCTTCTGAAGGCTGGCGGGGGCAAAAGTCTTTGCTCCCCCCCGCCTGCCTTCAAAAGCTTCGCGGACCTCTCCGCCAGCAGCGGCAGCGCTGCCGCTGCTGGCGGAGAGTTGCCGGCATCCCGAAGCCTGCGCGCGCTGATCTCAGCGCGTCCAGGCTTCGCGGATCTCTCCACAAGCAGCGGGAACGTTCCCGCTGCTTGGGGAGAGTTGCCGGCATCCCGAAGCCTGCGCTCGCTGACATCAGCGCGTCCAGGCTTCGCGGATCTCTCCACAAGCAGCGGGAACGTTCCCGCTGCTTGGGGAGAGTTGCCGGCATCCCGAAGCCTGCGCTCGCTGACATCAGCGCGTCCAGGCTTCGCGGATCTCTCCACAAGCAGCGGGAACGTTCCCGCTGCTTGGGGAGAGTTGCCGGCATCCCGAAGCCTGCGCTCGCTGCGGCCAGGCTTTGCGGATCTCTCCTGCCTTCAAAAGCCGTCCGGGATAGCGGGAAGTGCTTCCCTGCTATCCCGGACTGCTTTTAAAATGCTGGCGCTGGGGAGCAAAGCCTTTCGGCCCCCGCCAGCCTTCCTGGACCTCTTCTGAAGGCCGGAGGGGGGGGGAAGGCTTTGCTCCCCACCGCTAGCATTTAAAAGAGGTCCCCGGAGATTTCCCTATGGGCTTTCGTCTTGCGAAGCAAGCCCATAGGGAAATTCGTTTTGCGAAGCGCCTCCAAAACGGAAAACCCTTTCGTCTAGCGGGTTTTCCGTCTTGCGAGGCGTTCGTCTTGCGGGGCACCACTGTACATAATTGTGCAATTAAGGCTGCATTGCTATGGCAATATCCCCATCACGTCACATCGTCTGTCAAATTTATATATTCATTGATGCCGCATCAGTCACAAAGGTTTAAGAACTCCCAGCTCTGATGTCTTTTGTAGTCATTCATAACGTTGGACTGACAGTATAATTCCTAACAGGTAACAGACATTTGCCAGGTAAGAATTTTACTTCTAGGGCACTATGTTAAGGTACCGGTAACTATGGCTTCCTACATACTGGGACCCTAAAATAAATTGAAGGTAGTCAAGGCCTACTTATGCAAGCCCACAGCCAGAATCACAGACTTACAGTACCATATACCCTATGAATTGTGAATATCTAGGACACGGGCATTTTAATGCACCTCCATTTCCCACAAGATACAAACTGGCCATAGTTATAAGAAGGCTTCTGTTTAGCAATGCCAAATGGCAGTGATAGCAGAGGTAACTGTTGGTTCAAGGAAAAAATAGGTACTGTGTATAGAAAGGAAAATTCCCTGGATGCCATGGAATTATTACTATTGGCAGCCCTGTATAAGGATTTTTTTAAAAAAATGTTTCTTATTATATATTTTTATATGCTGGAAGCCGCCCAGAGTAGCTGGGGCAACCCAATCAGATGGGCAGGGTACAAATAATAAAATTATTATTAAAAATGGTTAAGATCCAAGTAGGGGCAAATAATCTTTGGTGAGAGAACCTCCCAGCAGAGATTTAAAATCACAAAATATTCAGCAAAGGAAAGCATGGAAATATAGGCTGTTAGACCTTTAAAATATGCCCTTCTGAGTTCCAAATCTTTCCTCAGGATAGGAAAAGACCACACAATTAGACAAAGGTCAAATATTTAGGAGTGTGGATAATGCCCAAGCATATTACTGTTTTTAAGGACAATAATGAAAAAGTATGGAAAGAGATTCAGAGAAACTCTTCCAACACTTCCAAGTTGGGGAAGGATGAATTTGGGAAGAATATCAGCCATAAATATGAATGCACTACCAAAAATGTTATTTTTATTTCAAAGAATTCCAATGATCGGCAACACAGGATGCTTCAAGGAATGGCAAAGAGATATTATGAGATTTATCTGGCAGGGAAAGAAACCAGGAATAAAATATAAATTACTAGTGGAGTTGAAGGAAAGAGGTGGCTTCTACCCTGCCAGACTTAAGATTATATTATGAGGCATCCTTGTCTTTGCTGGTTAAAGGAATGGTTGACATTGAATAACACGCAGGTTTTGATTTTAGAAGGGCTTTTAAAAGCTAAGGTACACAAAAGTTTTACAAATCATACTATTAAGAGAAATTTGTACAAGGTATGGGAGAAATACAAAAATTTGTTAGAAAGAAAAACACCTTGGTGGCTTTCCCCACTCGAAGCGATAGCAATGAAAAATAGGATTTGGGGGGGGGGGACTGGGTGACATACAGGGATTTATTAACAGAAAAGGACTGGGAAATAGCATTAAAGAGGTTTGAAGAATTAGATCGACAAGTAATTGATTGTTTACAATATTTTCAACTCGATGAAGTTTTCAAGGCGGATAAAAGGATTTTTTAAAAATCAAACCTCGCAATTTGAAAGAGAGTTACTAAGGAATAATGATAAAAATTATTTCCAAAAATGTACAAACTATTATTAGAATAGGAGACAAAGGTGAGCAGGTGAAGTTGGCCATGATTCACTGGGCAAGAGATATATCCCATAATATTGAAATGGCTGCATGGGAGAAGTTATGGAATGTAGATCTTAAGTTTACAACATGTTATACACTAAAAGAAAACTACATGATAATGATGTAGAATCTTTATTTGCTTAAGCCACTAGCCATAGCAATAGAATAAAATAAAATAAAATATACCGAAGATAGAGGTAAAAACTTAACTATCCAAAATACATTTTAGAAGTTTACATCAATAATCAAATAATAGATGATAATGATGTGTAGATGGTATTTAACTCCTAGCAGATTGGCAAAAACGTATAAATCAAAAGCAAACACATGCTGGCAATATAAAGAAAAAGAAGTTATTTTTTACCATATGTGGTGGTCTTGTAAGAGAGTAAAGGTTTTCTGGGAAATGATTTATAACCAATTGAAGAAAATGTTTAAGATAACTGTCAATAAAAAAACCAAGCTTTTCTTTTAGGGATTGTAGGTACTGAGATTCCAAAAGACAAAAAATAGATTTAAAAAATCTGCTTCTTCATACCCAGCCCTGCAGCTCCGTCAGAGAGAGGAGGGTGAGTGGCAAGGCTGCCGCCCACTCTCCTGGACTGTGGCACATGAGTGCACCCCCTGTGCCATCTTGCAAGGCGAGCCGCAGGGGACTCCCTCCGCACCCCGCACCCCCGGTGGCACACAGCATGTGGTGTTTCCTTACACTCCGCCACTGGGGAGTGATAGGCAACATTATGACATAGTCTTCATGTTGTGGGTTTTAAAACAAACACGCAAAGAAGTCCCCTTTTCAGGATTTATTAAAATAATCCAGGGTGTCTTGGGCTACGAGCTGAAAACTGATAGCTTACTTGTTGTGAAGGTGCCTTAATTATTATTTCCGTGCCTTTTGAGTCAGCAACTAAGCAAGTCCCATAGATTGATAGGCATTTTGCATTACTGAACTTTTAGTAGAAGTTCCACCACCCTACTTTTAACTTCTAAGGTTCCATTATGCGCACAATTGGAGTAGGTCCCTTTGAAGTCAGTAGACCTCTCTTGTGAGCAAGCATGCATAGGATCAGGCCGTTCGTCTGGTTTTCTTACTGATGTGATGTGATAAGCAATCCTATGCATATTCACTTGCCCAATGAAATATACAAAAAATGCCTTATATTAAATGGCTGCCATTGTGCTTATTTCTCTGATTTAGTGCCCACTACCTATGGAAAGCGGGTGGCGCTGTGGTCTAAACCACACAGCCTAGGGCTTGCCGATCAGAAGGTCGGCGGTTCAAATCCCTGCAACAGGGTGAGCTCCTGTTGTTCAGTCCCTGCTCCTGCCAACCTAGCAGTTCGAAAGCATGTCAAAGTGCAAGTAGATAAATAGGTACCGCTCCGGCAGGAAGGCAAACGGCGTTTCCGTGTGCTGCTCTGGTTCGCCAGAAGCGGCTTAGTCATGCTGGCCACATGACCCGGAAGCTGTCTGAGGACAAACGCTGGCTCCCTTGGCCAGTAAAGCGAGATGAGCGCCGCAACCCCAGAGTTGGCCACGACTGGACTTAACAGTCAGAGGTCCCTTTACCTTTACCTATAAGACACATTAGTTGCTTTTGTCCCTCTCTGCTGACCAGTTGGGGAGGTTGATGCTAGAATTCTTGATCTGTAATACATTTGTACTGTAATGTACATTTGTACTTTTAGATGCAGGCCATTTCAGTATATGGTTCATAGTAACCTGTAGGCAACTGGTTCCTTGAGCCACCATTTAGATTCTGACTCCATCCCAGTCACTGTTTCCTGTCAGTAGACCTTTAGGTTCTCGTGAAAAGCAGCTCATACAAGCCTAAAGACTGCTCAACCCAGTGCAGAACTATTAATTTTAAAAAATCTACATAGTTTTCCAAAGAACAACCTAACATTTTAAAGGTATCAATCAACATATCTATAAGGTGTTGTTCTTACCTGTACCAAATTCCATCCTATTAGGGATTCAGCAATGATGGATGTTACGGTTGTACATACTCCACCAAAAACCATTAGGTGTGTAGGTCCATATTTTATTGCATCGTAGAAGGCTTTAAGTCCCTTTGCATTGTCACACTGAAGGGGAGAAACAAAAATAGCTTAATCACTAAATGCAATTTAGTATTGGCAACATTAATATTTGATCAAAGTTAAGGATTTAGCATAATAAACCACAAAGATGCAGCACAATACTCAACAAACAACAAACTTTAAAGTGTTCCTATTGGTCACTTTGAAAGGTACTGATGCAAATGGCTGTAGCTTGCCCTTCCACGTACTAAAATTGAAATCTCAACTTCACAACTAAAGGTCAACACTGCCCATTTCACTACCACATCATACCTGGGGGGTGTATTGTTTTTATTTGTTACTAGTTTTGCATATTATTTTTTTGTTACTAGTTATGCATTTTTGTAGGGACGCGGGTGGCGCTGTGGGTTAAAGCCTCAGCGCCTAGGACTTGCCGATCAAAAGGTCGGCGGTTCGAATACCCGCAGCGGGGTGCGCTCCCGTTGCTCGGACCCAGCGCCTGCCAACCTAGCAGTTCGAAAGCACTCCCGGGTGCAAGTAGATAAATAGGGACCGCTTACTAGCGGGAAGGTAAACGGCGTTTCCGTGTGCTGTGCTGGCTCGCCAGAGTAGCTTTGTCACGCTGGCCACGTGACCCGGAAGTGTCTGCGGACAGCGCTGGCCCCCGGCCTATAGAGTGAGATGGGCGCACAACCCTAGAGTCTGTCAAGACTGGCCCATATGGGCAGGGGTACCTTTACCTTTACCTTTATGCATTTTTGTATTTTTATATTGTAAACTACCCTGCGATCCTCGGATTAAGGGTGTAACAGAAATGTGATGAGTAAATAAATTAAACAAATGAACAGGCAGAGAACAGGCACGTAAAAAGCCAAGTTCTATACGATCAATTTAATTGTGTAACCAGAATCCATCAAAATAAACCACCCACCCACCCCCAAGTTTTCGTCCACTGCTGGTTTCCATAGCACTTTCAATGTTGCTTCAGGCTGAAGCTAGTTTTCATTAATGATATTTTGTAAGGACACTCTCTTCAGACTTTTGCTGTAACAGTTCTTATGTCATGTCTGTAGCTGGGTGAGGTGTTAGGGCATAAAATGCAAAATAATGTCCCAGATGCCTTTGGGGCATCATCTCACCATCAACGGAGAAGAATGACCAAACTGCAAGTGGACAGAGACACAGGAGCCATCACCAATATGGCCACAACTCCTTCCTGCACAGACTTGACCTTCGTCCATAGCCCAAACAAGGAGAAGAAAAGCGCAACCCTCTGCCCTCAAAACCCTTAACCCAAACGTTACAGCTGAGCAAAAGATCTTGAAGTTAGGAAGCTGCAGGTAGCTCGCTGAAAATTTAAAATGTCATCATTTTAACAGAATACAGAAAAGTTTCTTTAGGCTAGGTGCAAATAGGATTCCAAAAAGACTGTACTCCTTTGCAGTGCAGACTGCACTAATTTCAGCACTGATAAAGTTAAGCACCATTATTCTGGTTCTGATATGAGCTCAGGACAATTTATATCCACCTGACAGTGCCAGAAGCTGACAGATCTGGTGCAGCCACTCATTGAAAAATGCACTTAATGCAGAAGGATTATCCAACCGTGCTTTAATGTCTGCAAGAGCCACTACTTCGTGTTCTGTGCTACCAATATATGAGTTTCTTCACACATTGCTTCTCCTGAATCATATTCCAGAGATTTAAGCACACACTTAAAACATAAAGACGATCAACAAGTGCTGGAAAACAATGCGAGTCATTCATGCACATACATCAGAGAGCTAAGACTGGCTGCAGCTCTCTTTTGTGTGTCGGCTCAGGAATAAACCTGGAATGTGTGGAATAGCCCCACGTGGAATGAAAAAATAAATCTACACAACCTAAAACAGTTGTAGTAGCAATGCTCGCATCCATGTAGCTCTTCCATCTCATCCAAAATATTTTTTACTACTCTATATGATTTGATAATGTAGTGAAAAAGTAACAAAAAAATTAATTTAATGTGTCTAATTAAGTCAGTCATCTCACTTTAGTAGTCCAATCTCCATTAGTTTTAGGTTGTCCTGGTGCAAGAGGACAGGATTCCTGCGCCTTTAACATCTGTGCAGATGAGGGGATTTCAGAAAGTGCAGCTAGCATGTCAAGCTATAACTGCTGAAATTCTCTCTTCTGTACAACTATTAAATGCGCAGGAAACCCTGTCCTCTTTTTCAGGCCAGCCTAATTACAACCTGCGATGTCAAAAGGAACCACATTGTTGTGATTCACAAAATAATATGTTCAGATTTGTCTCTGTCTCTCTCCCCACCCCCACCGACCGTTTACCTCAGGAGAGGCCAGCTGGCCAGGGAGATCAGATGTTTCATATTCAGCAATTACACTAATGCTTTTGCTTAAGCCATATCCATTCACAGAAAAGAGGACAACGTGAATATGTCAGATTATTCAGATTAAATAGGCAAATAAGTAGGGACTTCTCTTTGAATTCAAAACAGTGCTATTTCCCACATTAGATACTGTGACAACCATATTAACAAGTTCAAAGCAGACACATTAGCAAGGGAAAAGTGTTTTCCCTGTATCTCTTGTGAAAGTGTTTGAAGTAAATTAACACATATTTGCATCTTACCATTCTTAATTAAGCCAATGCTTCAACTATCTTTGCCAGCACCTTAGGGGTGGTCTCTACATCAGCACAGCAGCATTTCTCCCTGACAAGACAACTAAAGTGGGGGGAAACAACTCACTCAAACTCCTCATACTTCCATAGACTGGTGCAGATGCAACATAAATAATTCCTTAACCATGGTTAAGGAACCAGAAATACCTGGGAGGATTGCAAGCTCCATTCACCTGCCCCATCCTAAAGAAATTATGCCACCAGCCTTAGCCGTGTTTAAGAGGATTGTGTCAACAGTAAAATTAGTGCTGTGTAGTGTTCATTCTTAACTATGCTGGCACAACTAGGATTAAAAGGGGTGTGTCAACCCTTGGTTCGTACTATGTAGACTTCACTCTTAACTATGTTTTAACCAGCATCAAGTCTTACTTTCAAAATAACCCTGACTAGCATTTACCATGGTTGATGTCAAAGCTAACATAAACCTGCGGCTGGAGGGAGGATACATGAAAGACGGGAGACAAACTGGGGAAATCATTGAGTTCACCATGCTTGTTCCCAGTCCCTTTACCTGTGGTTTTAAGATGAACCATGTTAAATCTGCACTGGCCATATGATAATTCATTTACTCCAAAACAGGACAGGAACTACTCTTCCTTCTTCCAATACAACATTCCTAGTTATGTTCACTCCAGAAGAAGCCTAGTTCCTGGACACGAGGTCACATTACATTTTAGAATAAAGTTCTGCTGATGTATTGTTTCAGACTCTAGCAAGAAATTTTGGGCAGTGGAAACCAATAATATAATGGGTATCCCCTGATAGATATGGCCTCCTTATTATTTAAGCAAGTCATAAAACAATGCCTCTCTGTTAGAGGCAAATTGCGGGGGGCATATTTCTCAAAAACAAAGAGCAAGAATCCACAGCTCTTATCATTTCACCAAGGCCCCTTGCTGTCCCATAAACTTTCAGGACATAAGATAGAGGACATACCTGAGGGCTGCCAATCATTGTTAAATGCAAGCCTTAAAAGTCTGCCTCTGCACCTTGTGCTGTTTCTTAGCTTTGCAGATTAATTGCTTAAATGAAAAATAGGAATAACTGTTTCTCATTTAGATCAAGTAGATATTGTTCTTCCCTGGATTTCTACAACTCCCAGCTCAACACTTTCTTTCTTTTTTCCCCCAAACCTAATTCTAAATTTCAATCTCTACCTTCAGTCTCACAGTAATGATAATGGGACTACTGATTGCTATCACTGAGCGCCAAGAACCCTCAAAAGGAAAATATTTGGCCTCTGTGAATAGTGGATCTTGATAAGGATTGTTCAAAGCAAATAAGTGTCTTCTTGTTCCGTTACCTATTTTAGTGACAATAACTATTTAATTTTCAACGAGAGACACCATAAACATAAGAAACTACTGAAGTGAACAAATATAGTCTGCCTGTGGGGTTTTGCCATAGAAGTGTTCTAATATGTACAAATCATTGGTGGAGGAGATGGCCCAAACCAGAGGCTCTTAATTAAGTCCTCAAAGCAGGGTTGGTCAAACGGCCAACCCACAACCCAGTGGCCCTACAAAATCTATGTTTTCACAGTAAACCAACAACAACAACAACTCCAAAACACCTTGTCTACTCTGCAACTTAGCTAATATTGTACAATCGGGTGGACACTGTGAGAACATAATCAAGGAGAGATCAAAGCATGAATGAATAAAGCCACTGTAAACAGCATCAAAACTTTACAACCATCCCAAGCCCAGGCATCGCAGGCCTAAATCGGGAGGCAAGCCTCCTGATTGGTGGATGGTGAATCTCTGGCTTGGCAAGTTATCCCGCCCACCTTTGCACCTGGCTGTGGGAAGTACTCAGTGACTGGCCACAAAATGAAGAGGCCTTTCTTCTGTGAGGGAGGGGGTCTGGCGTGACGGGCCGCAACCACAGCCCAACCTTATACTGGGTAAGCGGCCATCATAGTCCTGCAGCAAATAATTTTCAGTACAATTCCCATTATGCCTTAGTACCTTACAAAAGGCCCCAAGCTGTTGTTGTTTTAAACATTCTCAAATAGGTTATAGCAATTATGAACATAGTTGGTCTATTCTACCAATGTTTGTATGTCTCGCTTCTTGCTAAGTTTTTCTTTTGGAGAAAGTCCCCATTTAGAAGCTACTAATTGACTGCTGATTCTGCTTAGCTGAATAAAGCACTACTGGGTCACTGCCACCAAAGCAGAGACATCACCTTGCCAACAAAGGTCCGTATAGTTAAAGCTATGGTTTTCCCAGTAGTGATGTATGGAAGTGAGAGCTGGACCATAAAGAAGGCTGATCGCCAAAGAATTGATGCTTTTGAATTATGGTGCTGGAGGAGACTCTTGAGAGTCCCATGGACTGCAAGAAGATTAAACCTTTCC